TGACATTTTAGATATTTCGGTGCGAGAGCGATTACCAGACTGAATACAGTGGCAACTGCGATGCTTTGACAGCCTCATCATTGGCCAGATCGTGCAGCCACGTCATAGCCGCCTGGGCGATGGGAGAAGGGGTAGAATACATCTATGGTACCCAAAAATGATAGAATGAAAATGATAGAATGGGAAATAAGAATGTGTCGCATCTTTTGCGTGGTGTAATTTTTCATATTGACCACGCTGTGATTAGACTTGGATTTTTGACTATGAGCATTTTTTATGTGTAACTTCTTCAAAGCTGCAATTTCGCAGCCGATATACTTCCCACCGGAAGCCGGTCTTCCTCTTGGTGGTGAAAATGGGAAAGATTATGTCAAGGTGGAGATTCACTACAACAATCCCGGCCTAATAGCAGGCGTGTATGACAATTCTGGCTTTGAGATTGTTGTCACTACAGACCTCAGGTGAGACAAGTGCCAAAAAAATCGACAGAGAAGTTCAAGATTTAGACAGTTTGACGCGGGCATAATGGAGATTGGTCTCATTTACTCCGATGCAAACTCTATTCCTCCGGGTCAAAGTGCATTTCCACTGACAGGACATTGTGTTGCGGATTGCACAAGCAAGGTGAGCGCATTCTTGTTCACTAAGGAATAAGAAAAGAGATGTGGTAACAGCGCTGTTCGGCTACATGGTCTCCAAAAAGTCGTAAAAGTTCGGTCAAATTCTGTCTGTAGGGGTTATCTGACATTGGTTATCTGCATATCACGAACAACAACTCTCTTGTGAGAACCCGCCAACTTAGACAGGGACATTTTTGAACATCTGCCGCATGAAAGGGCCAAAATCACAGGTTTGGCTGGATTTAAGCCTAGTCGGGTTTTCTGTATAAAGAAATGTTCCGAATGAAAAATTCCACTTCTAAATCGACCCGGACCAAACTTTGCAAACATACACTTCGGCGAGGGCGGATGTCTTAGGATAGTTTGCAAATGATTCATACTCATCATACAGCAGTGTCCCGGCAAATTTTCGCTCTCCACTTTTCACCTTTTCGGAGCATTCTCGCCATATTGAACCATATCTGAGCTTTGGAGAGCATGAAAATGGGAAGAATAAACTTTTGTCAAACCTCCTCACATT